GGATTCGAACCCGCCACCTTAGGTGTATGTGGCTGGCGCCTTAGCTGCTTGAGCCACAGGTGCCGAATCCAGTGTTTTTTTTTTATATATTTTTTTTTCTTTGAGACAGAGTCTCACCCTGTTTCCCCTGGAAGAGTGCTGTGGCATCACAGCTCACAGCAACCTCAGACTCCTAGGCTTAAGCGATTTTCTTGCCTCAGTTTCCCGAGTAGCTGGGACTACAGGCACCCGCCACAACACGTGGCTCATTTTTCTATTTTAGTAGAAATGGGGTCTTACCCTTGCTAGGCTGGCTTTAAAATCCTGTGCTCAAGCAATTCACCCCTGTCAGCCTCTCAGAGTGCTAGGATTATAGGCATGAGCAACTACCAAACCTGGCCTATAGGTCAGTGTTTTTTCAACCTTTTTTTTTTTTTGAGACAGAGCCTCAAGCTGCCTCCCTGGGTAGAGTGCCGTGGCATTACAGCTCACAGCAACCTCCAACTCCTAGGCTCAAGCGAGTCTCCTGCCTCTGCCTCCCAAGTAGCTGGGACCACAGGCGCCTGCCACAACGCTTGGCTATTTTTTGGTTGCAGCCGTGATTGTTGTTTGGCGGGCCCAGGCTGGATTCGAACCTACCACCTTGGGTGTACATGGCTGGTGCCTTAGCCACTTGAGCTATAGGCGCCGAGCCGGCTTCCCAGATTGCTAGGATTCTAGGTGTGAATCACCATGCTCAGCTCCCCCATCAGCTTTTCTAAATCCTCCTTCTTCCTGCCCTTCCACTCTAGGGGGCACCACGGGGAAAAGCTGCCTAATCACTTTCTTGCCAACTCAGGAGAAGGGGGAAAGAAAAAACATTAGAAACTGTGTGTGTGGTGGAAGGGGCAGGGAGGCACTCACATCTGGGCGTCTTTCTGGGATCCTTCACTGCAAACAGTTTGCCAATAGCTGCCACTTACTAAGCACTGTACATCTATACAATTTTCTTCTAATAATTACATCAGCCTTGTGAGTTTGATTAACTCCCACTGTCCCAGTGAACACACTTAAAACTCAGACTGGAAAAGTCAGCCAGGACTCCACCTCTACCAGGGATCCCCCCACGTCTGGGCCTTTGCATCGGGAGGAGTAGGTGTCACCCCTCTGCTTCTTTCTGAGGCTGTCACAGGGCAGGGCCTGGCTTATTGTAGTCACTACTACTGTCAGGTTAGACCCTTCTGCCTTTCTGTGGCTCTCCTTTTCAAGGCCTCTTGCTCATTCAAACATTTGAACGCTTGCTATGTGCTAGGCCTGGGTCTTGGTGCTGGGGATGCACTCTGCCCTAGGGAGCCTTACAGTCCATCTAGATGTGGAGACAGGCAAGAAACAAATAGATGACTAACCATCAGTGAAGTGCCAGAAGGAAACAGATAGGAATAATGGGGCAGTGTACAAACATAAGAGAAGCTACTATAGACGGGGTCTGGAAGGCTGAGACCTAAAGGGTAAGGAAGACCCAGACCTAGGGATACAGACAGATAAGGAAAGAAATGTTCTGGAGACAGGGAACATCAAAGGCCAAGGTGCTGAGGAACTCTGAACTCAAAAATGAGCGGGGCTGATCTCTCACCAGAGGTCCCAACAGTGACTCGATTGAAATTTTACATTTTAGGTCAGTGTTTTTTTTTTTTTTTTTTT